TACGAAAAGTCCGATAATCTGTCAGCGCATATTTCTTCATCACTATCTTTGTCACAACGGTTCATTTTATCAATCTAATTAATCAATAATAAAAAACCAAGCTTCAAATTGACAAAACACGACTTGCACATTCTGGAGCTAAGAATTCGACTGAAGACGAAATAACTCAACAAAAGACCAAGTAACTCGACAAACGTAACTTGCTGAAAGAAAAAATGCAAAGAGTTGCCTAGCAACACAAACAACACCCATATAATGTCACACATACATATCATTATACGTATTTAATAGATTTGTGGTGATTAGCGAGTATCCACCACAAATCTACTATATGTATTTTTACGTGACCCGCACTCCAATGACAGACTGCAAAAAACGTAAAAATATGTTGCCCGCATACCATACGTATTTTTACGTGACCTGCGCTCCAGTGACAGACGGAAAAAAACGTAAAAATACGTTGCCCACATACCATACTTATTTTTACGTGATCCGCACTCCAGTGACAGATTGCAAAAAACGTAAAAATACGTTGCCCACATGCCAAGTGTTAATACTGATTAAATTTAATAATTCAAGTATTTATATTCAATTTATATTTCATTAGATGAATCTACCTTAGATTAACATATTTAGATGAACTAAAGTAATGAAACATTGAAAAATAAATCTTCTGCGGACTGCAGATTCTCGAAATGGCAGATTTAGTCTCGTTTCATTCTAAAACTAACGATGATGAACTATGAAAAAGATGCTAAAACGACCTTGTCTAAAAGCGGTCATATCATGACATTTCAGTGACGTTGACAAATTGCCAAGATGCAACGGTAAATATTTTGCATCTTCACTACGTTGTAAAGGTGTAAAAGTTACCACGACCATTTTGCAACCTCTAGCACCAGTTTGCAACGTCTTTGCTACATCATGTGCTACTTGAGAAATTATATAAAAAAATTCTTTTTGAGGAATTCAGATTGCTAAGAAATTTTACGGAAACCAGCATTATATTCAGGATCTTAGAAATAGAGGGAAATGAAGATCTATGATTACTTATGAATTATTTAACATTTCAATGCTTATACAAGAAATACATGGGGAAAAATTATTCTGTCTACAATCTTAGACAATTTCCATTAAAGGTGAACTCTCTCTATGAAACTACTTAGCTAAAATATCTCAAAATAACCAGCATTTCTGATAATATAAATTAATATCTGCAATGATAATATTACTGTCAAAGATGATCATATCCTATCACAAAGAAGACCATCAAATATATACTGGGGCAACGACCAGATACCTAATTTTTTAATCAAACTGAAATACTTTATGTACTAAACAAACCAAAGATTATATACAGAACAAAGTCCAAAATCCGGACTCATCGGTGTTATATATGTAACTGTATCATCACCAGAAGTTTTTCTGAAATTTTTAGTGATTTAGGAGTTCAAATATATATAGATGACTTATTAGTTTGGGGTAAAGATAAAAAAGAACATGATTTAAGATTAAAGAAGTTGTTGGACAGAGCGAGAGAAAAGTATGTTAAATTTAATTTAAATAAATGTAAATTTGGGCTGAATGAAGTAAAATATATGGGACATATATTTCCTAAAGATGGTTTAAAACCAGATGAAGAAAAAATTAAGGTTATTCTAGATATAAAATCACCAAAAAAATGTGAAAGAATTAGAAACTTTCCTAGGAATGATTACTCATCTCAAAATGCATCTCAAGAAGGACTAGGAGCAGTCTTACTGCAGAATAATTTACCAGTAGCATATGCATCTAAGGCATTAACAGATACACAGAAGAATTATGCTCAAATTGAAAAGGAAACTTTAGCTATTGTATTTGCATGCGAGAAATTTCACCAGTATATATTTGGAAAATATATTACTGTGGAAAGTTACCATAAACCACTGGAATCAATTTTCGAAAAGCCATTAAATAAATGCCCTGTAAGACTACAAAGAATGCATATAAGATTACAGCCATATCAGTTTGAGATAAAATATAAACCAGCAAAAGAACTTTTTATAGCTGATGCATTATCAAGATCATTCACTGATAAAGGATCTGATTTCTTTGAAGGAGACATAGAAGCTCATGTTGAATTGTTGTAGAATGTATACAATGTCTAAAGTTAAAATGAAAGTTTTTCAACTGGAAACAGAAAAGGATGGAGAACTACAAGTTTTAAGAAAATTAATTAAAACTGGTTGGCCAGATGAAAAATGTATGGTTCCAGAACTGGCAAAACCATATTTTAACGTCAGAGAAGAACTATCAGAAACAAATGGATTAATATTTAAAAATTCCTGTGGTTGTACCAAGAATTTTACAAAAAGATATGTTAAGCAGAATTCATTATGGTCATTTAAGAGTAGTAAAATGCAAGATCAAAGCAAGAGAAATATTATATTGGCCAGGAATGTCGAAAGAAATTGAAGATTTGGTACTGAATTGTCAAACATGTTTAAGTTTACAAAAAGCTAATACTAAAGAACCAATGATATCTAAAGAAATACCTAATGGTCCGTGGGAAGTATTGGGAACAAATCTCTTTTATTTTCAAGGAAGATATTATCTAATAGTTATAGATTATTTTAGCAAATATGTTGAAATTGGACATTTGGAAGATTTGTCAAGTGTAGCAGTGATAATGCAATTGAAATCAATTTTTGCAAGATATGTTATTCCAAAAATAGTATATTCGGATAATGGTCCACAACATAATTGCAGGAAATTTAAAGACTTTGCAAGAAGATGGAATTTTGAAACCAGAACTTCAAGTCCAAATTACCCACAATCTAATGGAATGGTTGAAAGACATATTCAAACTGTAAAGCGATGTTTTTATAAAAAAGGGAGATGTAAAGCGAATGTTAGAAAAAGCTGTACTTGACAACAAGGATCCATATTTAGTATTACTGGAATATCGTAACTCTCCTATTTCAGATGATATTAAGTCACCTTCAGAATTGATGTTTGGAAGAAAAGTAAATGGATTGACGCCTATAAGAGAGAATTTCGTCCAAGCTAAACGATATGAAGATCATAAACAACACTTACTGATACAAAAAAGTTATTATGATAGGAATGCAAGACTGTTAAAACAACTGAAAATAGGAGATCATGTTTACATAAAAGAGAAAGGGAAAAACTAAATGAAAGAGGGAAAATTATAGAAGAAGTAGAAAGACCACGTTCCTATAGGATTATAAGAAAATTGTAGAAAGGAACAGAAGAGACGTTCTTAAAGGAAATAATCAGAAAGCGTTTGCAATACAAAACAACTATGAGAATGAAGTTATAAATGAACCAGAGATACCTGAGAATAGCAGGAGCACTACAAATTTAGATGTGCCTGCAAGTCCTTCAAAACCTAACAGAAGCGTGTCACCAAATAGTGAAAGAGGTATAGTATCATCAAATTTTTCAAATGGACATAACTACATTACTCGATCTGGTAGGACTGTTAAGAAACCTTATTATTTAAAAGAATATGTTTAATTTTACTACTATTAGTTTTTATAAAAAAGGGAGATGTTATATATGTAACTGTATCTATCATTACCTTTAATCATAACTGTAATATAGAATAGTAGATGAGCAATGTAGAATAAACGATGTTTATGTACATCTTGGTAATCATCACTGAGCACATACCCGACATAAATAAAAAAAACAACACAATCGGGACTTTGGCAATTCCGAATTTGGGATTTTTCTGGATAATAGATCATCAATTTAAATTTAGTAAAATGGCATACAGAAATTATAAAATTAAAAATATGAAACCGTGATTTATGATATAATGAAGTATTTATGATCTAAAGAGTATCAAAATTTACAAAAAAAAGCTTAATATTTATTTTTTTACCCTATTAAACATTTCTTTCAAAGCAAATTGCTTCGTTTTTTGTGCTAATACTTTCTCTTTAATTCTGTAGACAGTTCTGTTGGTGGTTTTGAGGTCCAGATTTTAGATCATTCTGGATAATGGACGTCCGGATTTCGGACTTTGTACTGTATTTCTAATTCTTACAAGGCTAAAGGGATGTCACCTTAAATTTATATGGAAAAATTCTAAATATGGAAAATCAAGTTCTTAATTCTCTTCTTTTATAGAAAAATATTTCTAAAATTCTTAACAATAAACCGCAGTAACTTCTGAATCGTTAATTTTATCCTTTTGCAGTGTGGAATAATTATTCATAAAACTTTAATTTCTCAAATATAATAAAGCACTTTTAAATTACTCGTCACATTTATAAGTTGCTTACACACTTTTTTAATTCTTGTCTATGCTATCTATGTTTGTCAACATAAAAAACAAATCAGTGTTTAACAGATACCAAAGTTATACATTTTTCTTTTTGACATTACTGCAATCAGACACATTTATTTTGAAGCTAATAATTCAAAGCATGTATGTAAGTGGGTTTCTTATCAATATTTTATTTTTAATTTTATAAATCTTAATTATTCATAGATGAAGATCTTTTGATGACCATAGATTAAGGTTGTCTGCAAAGCAAAAAGTAAAAGAACGATTAAAAATTACTAAAATAAATTTAGAAATATAAAGTTACTAAAACTGCTATTGGTAGTCTTTTGAAAAAGAAGTAGGCAAAAATGTACACGATGTATAAAAGTAACATGATGGTTGAAATACCTTTACAGAGTTAAAACTACAATAGTGCATAAGTGAAATAAAGAAGTGATAACCTAAACAGAAACTCAAAGTGACAGATTTCGTTAGATGAATATTTTGAGTGATTTTTGAAATTATTAAATAAAAAGTTTTCTATCAATTTTTAACATGAAAGGTGTTTTAGCACTTTAAGCATATTAATCACCTTCACTGATACTCATCTTTAAGATTATCACCTCTGCAAAAGAACAGAATAGAACGTAATCGCAGATGCTCATTTTAAATGCATTCATAGCACTTATATTACAATAATTTTATAACAGGAGATACTGCTTACCCGCCATCATATACTGCATCAAAAGTGAAATATTTAGGGCTTTGTTTCAAATTGTGGATTTCTACACCACCAGATTCAGGAAACAGCGTAACTACACTGATGGGGGAGAAAAACAAATTAAAACACCAGACATTTTTTTATATAAAAACTGCACACATACAAGTACACAAAAGTTTAGAGTTATTAGAAATTGCTGTACAATTTTGTTACTGGCATAGTTTGTCAATCTTCTGCAGAATTAGAGTCAATTTTTCACTACAAACACTATAATCACTGGTATTGGATAAGGTATGACAATTTACAAAAGACAGACAACATTTACAGTCTGAGACTATTCAGTTTGAAACAAAAATGGATGTAAAGAGACTTTTCTATGGTATCCATGTTTACGCATGTGTGTGTGTGTGTACGTGTATGTACTTTAAAGAATAGCCACAGTTGAAGCAGTAACAAATTAAAAAGAAAAGAGGCAAATCTGCGCTGAAGCTGCTAGATCATAATAAATTGATAATGAAGTTAAATGTCGGAACATAAATTAAATATAAATTTAGTTCTAAAAAATATAAAAGTCTACCTATTTCTAGCTACAGGAAATGGTTACAAAAACCGAGTAAACACACGTGAAGGGTACAATTAAAAACGTTTAGAGTTTTAAAAAAAATTTTTTTTAACTACAGAACATGAGACTCCAAAAATACAAATTGTAATAAAATCGCCTTGAAAATTAATCTCCTCTGTTTAAAGCTTCAAACAGAACTTGTCAAAGGAAAAGCGTTTCGAAGCCTTATTAATAAGTTCCGAATAAACGTTTTGTTCCCCTGAACCATTTGAGATTTTAAACTGCTTTTTCAATACTTAAATCATAAATTTTAAAAGGAATTTCAAATGAGTCTCAAATACTCAGATCTTTCCTTTACATGTGTTCGTATACTTGCCAACCTATGACACTCAAAAATCAGGAGATTTTTTAAAGAAATCAGGAGATTTTTCACAATGTTAAAAAGACTTTTTAAATGATAAAAATATAGTTTTTAATAATGAATTAACTTTAAATAGTTACTAAGCCTTAAATGCAAGCAACAAAAAAATACCTTAGACATAAAAAACATGTTTATTACTTGCATCGTTTATTAAAAAAAAAAAAAAAAAAGACACTTTAATCAGTTTTCATACAAATGTTATGAACAATGGCAGATTTTGTTTTCGTTAAGAAAGAAACTTCATAATTTTGTTCATAGCAATTGCCATGTAGGCCTGCTTTTGCTAATAAAAGTTTTTCTAATGTGTCATCACTAATATTAGATCTAAATTTAGTCCTCATTTTCACATTTTCACATTCACACATTCACATTCTCATTTTCACACTTTCATCCCCTCACTCTCCGCATTACTATGTCAAGATGGCCAACATAATTCTAGACAGTTCACTATATTTTAAAATTCCATCAGTACCTTTCAGTTTTCCAATTAAACTCCACTGGATGTCAATCCTAGCTGATTTTATAACTTCATCCAAGTTTTCTAATTGTAAACTGCAAAATTGCGACTGCAGTATATCAGTAACCACATCAATATCATCATCTTTTATGACTAAACGAAGTAACACAGAAAATCTGTTCAAAAAGTACCTTATATCAGAAAAAGATGCATTCGCTAGAGCAGAAACATCAGCCACTTTAGCATGCAAAATCACTTCATCATTGACTGGAAATTGATGTAGTATGTAATCACATACTCGACAGAAGTAACTTCTAACGTGAAGATAAAACTTGTTTTTGTCTTCTGAAAGTTCTTCCACTACTTTTGTAGTTGCAGCTCCTATTACCAAATCTTCATCTTTCTTCTGATTTTCTATTTCACCATAAATCACATCATATATAGAATTACAAGACAAAACACAGACTGGTTTTACAAACTTTGATAAAATGTCTAAACAGATCATAAATCATTGATTGCAAAACATGAATTAATGGAATGTAGAATTGTGTTAAGAACATTGAATGATGGCAAAATGAATTGTAAAAAAAAGCAAAAAGCTTTGTTAAGGTCCGAAGAAAAAAACATAAATATTCGTTCTTCACAAGATAAACGTACAGTAATCGGAAAATGTTTCGTGTGTTGAGCAATTTTTTTCATTTTGAGAGAAATTTGTATCAGCTTTACGCTTATATTTTGCAGTATTATTTTGAGAACTGCCAGTTGAATTGCTGAATGATGCAGAAATTATTTTTCTCAAGCCTATTTTTAACAATGGAAGTAGTAACTACATCTCCATTTACTTTAGGTACTTTATAACTTTCAATAGAGCCTTTTATCTTAACTCTCGAAGCATTTACTTCTTTAAAAAATGCAAGAAGTGGGTTCCATTGATCGAGGATTCTAGATAAGCATTTCTTTAAAGACAGCCAGCGTGTACACAAATTTTTCTCATTTCAGTATTATGCAGCTGTTGGAACTGTTTCAATTTTTCCTTTCTTTTAGAACTCCTTTCAAGATAATAATAAATATAAACAATGTGTTCATCCACATTTATTGGTAAAGAAGCTGCCCCTTTTTCAGCTGCTAAATTTAAGAGGTGACAGGTGCACCTCATAATCTGCAAATCTGAATTTGCCTTTCTTAAGATGCCTGCAACACCAGTCTTCAAGCCTACTATTACTGGTGCAATATCGGCACCAAGTGCTAAGTAATTATCCAGAGGGACTGCATTTTCTTTTAAAGTTTTAATAATTAGCTGTGCTATATTAAAGCCTGTCGAATGTCCTTCTAAAGTGGGGACAGAAAGTAAGCTGATTTCTGAAGACTCTGGATTAAAAAAAAGAAACAATTGAATACAGTTTTAAATTGGTATTATTGCTTCCATCCGTAGAGAGGCAGAACGGAGCTGTTTTAATGCAATCAATAACTGAAGATTTATTTTTCAAACCCATTTCTTTAACAATTGTACCTGTTTTGGTCCTTGCACTTGAGTATTTCTTAGCGATTTCACTATTGAGAAACATTTTTCTAAATAAAGCTGCAGCATGATCCGATGCAGCATTCAGTGGCGGGTTGTGCTCCAGTAAAAAGGCAGCGAACAGACATTCTACATTAATCACTTTTTGGTCTTTTGTCTCCGAAGAAAAATTTAATTTTTCCTTTTTTTTTCAAAACAACTCATGTTGTCCTTGTGTGTTTGTGTACGCACATGTTTGAGAACATCTGCCCTTCCACCATGCGAAATCGAAAAATCGCAACGACTGGTGGTACACATCGCAAATTTATTACATTTCCTTGAGGAAATAATGGAAGGAAAGTCAACTGTGTAAGATTTTTGAAACGTGCACGAGTAATTTCACCTTTCTCGCAGACATAACAAAAGATGATAATTTCTAAAACTATTTCCCAAAAGCACGTGTACTCACACAACTCAGGACAATATGAAGGAAACAACCAAATAACGGCCAACGGCCTTGAGCTTGCTTTGTGCTCATTGGCTAATATATGCCAGATGACACGCAGTGGAGCTCGATGCCCATTGGAGAACTGGAGAACGACGTTTCTGGATACGTATGCTGTCACTCACAAAGCAGAAATTCTCATCTGATTTGCAAGGTTTTATTTTAGATATAATCTAGAGAAAATTCAGTTGCTTTCAGACGTCCAAAATCACTTTTTTTTTTTTTTTTTTTTTTTTTTTTTCATATAATGAAGTATTAAGCTAAGTTCCATAAAAATCGTGAGAAATATTAAGAATAAGAAAAAGTTGGGAGAAATATATTGTAAATCGGGTTGGCAGGAGAGCGGTCGAAAATCGGGAGAGTTGGTAACTCTGTGTTCGTATTCAAAGCAAACAAAAAATATATAAAAAATTAACAAACCAAAAAAAAAATACATAAATGCTTAAAAATAGTTCAAACTACTTAAAAATAGACAAGTGAAATAAACAAATGATAAATTAAATCAAAAAAGAAAAAAATTCTAAAGCAAGAATTAAAGAAGCAAAAACCTTCTAAAAATTGAAAAATGACTAAATTGTTCACAGTCGATGTATACAGTACAAAAGGAAAGGCTGACTCCTCATTACATATTTTTTCTTTTTTTATGAAAAATTATAATTACTAAAAAGTTAAGTAAAATTTAATGCTGGAGCTACCGTTGTGAAAAATATGAAAAACTTACTGCTTATGCAAACTTCTATTCTAGAAAATCAAAAGGTGCCTAAAGCTGTTAAAATAATGGATGCACAAAAACGTTTGTTAAAATTTAATCGAACCTTGCTTATGGGTTTACCAAAGAGTGAGGTAAGTGGTTTCCAAACTGGGATATCCAGTGGTTGACAAATACAAGTGAACAAAAAAAAATTTTTAAAAACTGTGCTTTTTAAGTGTGAGTCTATTAGTGGAAACACTAGAAAGGGGTGTTAAATTGTGCAAACTATGAAGAAAGCAATGAGTTGGATGATAAAATAGCATCTTATTTTCTGGTTCAAGTCTTGAAAACTAACCAGTAAAGATGGCGATGCAACTCCCCAATCCTAAATTTTAATACTGGCCAAAACTTCAGGAAAACAAAAAACAGGTGTTAAAAAAGTCAAACTTCTTCGTATAATCGAAGTATAATACGTCCTAAAAATCTAAAAAGGCCATTTTTTTTCATTAGAGACAGGACAGAAATACAGTATTTAATAAAAAGTACATAAAGAGAGTAGTACATTCATTAAAGCCTAGGATATTTACTAAAAGAAAAGACTTTTAATAACATATTCACACTTAATTACTTTAAAATGTCATCCAACTATTACCTTCTTTTCAGGTTTGGGAAATAATTATCATTTCACTGTAAACACATAGTTTAAATAAGTTAATGCCAGCTTTTTTTAAAGTGTGTGAAATTGTGAATTTGATTTTCTATGAGAAGGTTTATTTAGTAATTCTTCTTCTATAATTATTATAAGGTACTATGTTTGGTTGCAAACTTTTTTATTCTAAGAATTTGCATATTAATAGTATTAAGTATAACTTTCTTGGAGATGTTGGAATTCCAATTCATGAGTTTAATGGTTTGAAAAGTAAAATCTCTTCTTTTATCATTAACCTTTAATTTCTTTGTTATAATTGACCTAATAAATGTTTTGTAAATATTTTAAAATCTGTAAATCAAGGTAATTGATATCTTTTTGCCGTAGGCTAGTTTTGTTAAGTTTGAGGCGAGTAGAATAGACATTTGCTCCTTTTATTTTATTAACCCTCTGAGCGGCCTGGGTTTTTGGAACTGTCACGAAGGCCTGTATTTAAAAAGCATTTAATAGCTAAATTTTTAGCTAGTTTAGTCTCTATTTTCATAAATTTACATTCATAAAGATGGCATTTATCGTTTTAATGAAAATAAGAAAGCAAAACAGCTTAAATTATAAGCTAACATATAACAAGTGACAAAAAAAATCTCATAATCGGCTAATGCCGCTTATGGTGCTCAGAGGTTTAAAGTTGTTGAATGCAATGATGTCATCAACATATCTACACACACATAAGGTTTGATTTTAAACGCAGAAATATTTTTAACATGTAAAAATTATATTTTTCAACAGGCAGTTAGCAAACCTTTGACATACAGTGGAAAAAGAATAACAAATTTTATAAATGAATTAAAGGCAATTTAGAAATTTTGGGATAGAGGAAAAATTTTTGAATTTTTAGGTTTTCCAGACATACCTTATGATTATTTTAATAATTACAATTATGTGCCCTGTAGCTGCATGAATAATTTTCACCCTCAGTTTCTAGTGGGAAAAAAATGCCTAGATCACAAAAGTTTTTTATTATTATTATTATTTATTTATTTCATAAAATGCTAATACTTTCATTTTAACAATAATTGGATAAAATATCAATTAACTGAACCAAAGGGGACAAAAATGCAAAGCACAGCACAAATTTTAATATTCATCTCTGTTTACTTCAGAAATGGAATTTTAAATATAAATAAACATAATAATGCTTTAAAACATTTACAATGCCAAGTACAATACCTGGTGCTAATTAAAATCACTTTCCATTCCAAACATATTAGAGTTTATTAAGCAATTGAGTTTAATAAATGGCAATTTATATTTTGCAAACTGTGGTATCAGTTTTAAACCTTTCAAGCAAAATAATAACTGACAATTAATTTAACCCTCTCGCTGCATATCCCATGATTTCAACAAGCAACGTAGAAGTAGCAAAATTTGTGCAACCCGCGATTTCCGTGGGGATGCATTTTTTTCCGTTTATTTAACTGTGCAACCCACTTATGGTTTAATTTCGGCTTTTCTGTTATGTTTAATTATTTATTGAGATCTGGGTTAACAGATGGCATTAGTTGTCCATATTTCTGCAAAATACACAAACACATTTTGCACCCTTTTGCGCACTCTTTTCAAAGGTCAAAGAAGTCTGTAGTTCAACTCTCAATCACAAGAGACTAACTGCTTGACATTTTTCTGGATATATATCCCCCAATTCCATTAGAAAAGAAACTAGTAGTAAAAAAAGAACTGAAACTGGCCAAAAAATTCTCAAAGAAACGTGTATTTTGTGCAAAAATGACGAGGTAGGATGCCTCAAGCCTTGTTTTGAAGTTTATCATATTACACTTCATTTCTAATAAATGTTTTGTAAATATTTTGCATATTTTCATTAGTATACGTACCATTATATTTTATACACTAAATCATAATTCAATCAAGAATAATTTTCAAAAAAAATTTTTTATATGATTATTCTTCAGTTTAAATTTTCCGACAACCTTTTTTTTATATGATCTAAAAATTTCTTTTACAAAAAATGTTTCTACATTTTAAATCTAAAAATATATGTAGACTTGAATATGCAATTAAAAAATTACGCAACTACTTACCCTATTTTGATAACATAATTATGCAGCTAGAGGGTTAATCCTAAAATCATAATTAAATTAATACTAAAGTTTACATTCATTTTACATTTTTTATAAAAATATTTTAGAATTACATTTTTGATGAAACTTTCTCTCTTGCAAATAACTATTCTATCTTTGTTTCATATTGTTCAACAACAGTTTTTCAAGTGTATTCTCAATTTCACAAAACTGCTGATAGTGTTTTTGATAAGCAACTTTCAGTTCAAGAATTTTTTAGAATTTCCAGTGCCATTTTTGGATTTTATTGATGATAGTATATCATCTTTTTTTCTTTATCACTTCTGCAGTCAGTTTCTGCAGTTCTTTTAACACATTCATAGTCAGTTTTTATACACATTTTCTCGATATTCTTGTGAACTGGCATGCATTCTAAAAAGAATATCCAAACCTTCCCTCACAGATATGTGAAACATTATAGTTCCTCCGAGACTCCTTTAACACACAAACCATATTTTCGAAAATAGTTTTTAGGTGATATAAGAGATTAACCTCCACACTGATTATAATAATGCATGGCTTCTAGCAGATATATCAACGTACTAATCTCTTTGGAAGTTTACTTATAATTTCACTTCTGTACTTATCAGTCCACTTTTGTTCATCATTTACTGAACATATTTCCTATAATGGCATTTGAAACCTTTCATAATAGACTAAAATTAAAGGCTGAATTTTAGAATTTCTGGTTTAAGTCTTTTAATTTGGCATTTCAACACATAACAAGTTAAGCATACAGCAAATTCTAAAAATGCTTCTTCCAGCAGTTTATTCAAATTTCAGAATTTACACTTCTAGCCGGCAAAAAGATTGCCTTTTGTCTACTTAATCAATCTGCCACGTCATGATTAAAAATGACTAATGCTTTCCTTTAGTTTACAGTTACCCATTCATTTTCATTCAAAGACTTTTAATGTACAGTTATGTTTTGAAGCATTTCATGAACTTGTTTCATGACGCTCCATGAACATGTGTCTATCCCAAAAGAACAATTCTGAACATGAAAACTTTAAAGGACAGGATACAGAAGTTGCACTTGCATCTTGTATCAGCTGGTATTCAAGAAGGCACCTCACTCATTTACTATATCTCAATAGCATTGTTCTTGTTAACCTTAAGATATGGAAATTCTGCCAATCTAAAGTTCAGCAGACAAAGAAATCTTAAAAGAGTATCATACATGTACAGCGACAGAGGGAAGAGGTAGGAGAATTTCAGTCAAACACATTTTATTGAAGCACTGCATACCTGAATAATTACACCACAGTCCATATCTTAAAAAGATGAAGCATAAAAAGCTTTGATAGGTATAAATAGAATATTCTGGTGATGAAGAATCAGTTATTTGGCAATTTGAGTTTAATAAATGGTGGGGATGAGCTTAATAAACGGAGGTTTTTCTATTGATTAATTTGTATATGTTTGGGTTCTCGAAAATTTGAAGGTAAATAAGCAGCTGAGTTGTAAACAGTGGGTATTGTATTTTAATAATATATTTTATGCCTAGGAACAGCAAAGAGTACTTACGAATGGTAACCAGCTTGGTGTTCTTTTTCACTCACTGGGCGACATCGCACTACTACTTTGACAGTTTCAAGCTTGCTTTTCGATAACTAGAAAGATAAAATATTAACAATGTAAAATATTTTTTATATATAACAGGCTGCTTAAGCAAATAAAGATATTTAAGTACTATCACCGCCAGCCAAAAGAAAATCAAATATGAAAAATACTCAGATATACAAATATAAAATTTTGGTTGAAAGAAAGTTAAAATGCATTCTGATTTTATGTTTATAATGAGTTATAAAATTTCAAAGTTCAGTATGAAATGCAATATTTAGTCAAAATTTGTCTGTCAAATGGCATTTATATATATGCCCTAACCTTACCTATTGATAAATTTCAAGGTCTACTTAAATTGACAGTTCTTTTCTTAAAACCAAGAAATAAGAGACTTTCATACCTAATTTCCCAATATAAAAGAGAAATTTTCGGAACTGACAATTTCTTCTTATTTAACTTCTATCTTTCAAGCAAATTTTAGATTTGTTATGCACTTTAATCAACAGTATGGCAATTTTAATGCCCAGCAGTGAATATACAAGGTCTATAACACCTTCTTTAAATATCAAAATAACTTTTAAATGCAGAAAGCTAGAGTTATGGAAGCTGTGCCTACTTATAGTAAAGTGATTACACTATATAACAGGAGACCGACAGCAGCACTCCTAGAATTTTCAAGTTAATATCAGGTTTTAACAAAAGTTTCCCACTACCGCAAATATCATCTGCGCAAACAGTTTGCGTTGCCACGTTTAATCATATTTTGTCAAACGATTTTTGGCATTTGATAGAAAGAGACTTGCTTTAGAACACTGTGATGCAAATTTTGTAAAAAAATATCGTTATCTTTAAGTAAAAGGTGTCTGAAATGGAACTATCATGCTACCAGATTAGAGCCATTATTTACTTCCAGTTTTGTTGCAAAAAGTTAGCTACAGAATGTCACCAAATCAGGTATACAGCTTTAGGTACCAATATTGTATCATATCACACTGTGAAGATTTGGTACCAAAAGTTCTAAAGCAAATACTATGACATTCAAGAAGCAGAGCACTCCGGCTGGCCTACTGACATTGAGGCCCACCTGCAAGAACTTGTGAAAGAAGATCAGTATGCAACCCCTCGAGAGCTTGCTAAGGAGTTAGACATTACTGCATATCCATTAGAGGATGATGATCTGTATATATTGTAAAAACTTGTCCCTCAAGATTATGTTGAAAATGCTTTACAGTGCAGTAGATAGCAAGTAATTCTCTATTGTATGTGCTGCATTTAGTTTTAGCTGGATTCAACTTTCAGGAGAAAAAAAAACAATAGCTGATGGCCATTATTGCATCATGAGTGAAAATTGACTCCAATAGCCATATCTGAGGCAGGCATCAACCAATGTCAATTGCTGACCAGAGGCATGGTAACTAGTGTCACTGAATTTGTTCACTTTACACTTTTCAAAGGCACGCAGTTGTTTTCATTGTTCCAGGAATAAGACATTTATCATTCTTCTAAGAATCTTTCAAAAGAGAATGAAGCGGAGTTGGGTAGAAGCTGCCTTAGGGAAAAATAGTCGATAAAAGTCCAACATTGCATTAAACTTTTTAATTCACACACTATTGCAGGCTTAGGAAAGTTACAAATTATTGCAGTTTTTCCAGGAAGAGGCTGAACACCTGAAGGGGTAATTTAACAGCCAAGAAATGATAACGAAATCATTTTCCCAGAATACATTTAGTGAATTTTAAACCATATTTTTGCATTCTATTAAAAATTAAACGAAGGTGGCTCTCATGCTCATCTTCAGTTGGTGAAGCCACAAGCAAATCATCAAAGTAAGGAACACAAAAGTCTAAGCCAGAAAGTACTTGATGAATAAATCTTTGGAATATTTTAAAGAACTCAAATAATCCAAATGGGGTAGTCACAGCTGTTTTAGGTACGTACTCTGGGTTAACAAGGATTTGATGGTATGCCCTAGTCAAATCAAGTGTTAATTTTTTTTTTTTTTTTTTTTTCTTTTTTTTCTCCAAACAAATTCGTGTACATTCATGAATATGTGGTACAGGATACCAGCCAGGAAAAGTCACAGAGCATATATATCAATTGAATAAATAGCACTAGGTTTGATTTATATACATACTATGTGTGTATTGAAATTCAGTAATAAAATTTTAAAGCTTTGAAATGATTAAATGTCTATTTAGACAGTTTGTATTCTTTAAACTGCAAATGCAAACTGAGAAACCTTTTGCATTTTTTTCAATAAATCCTTTTACTTTAGTCCTAAAACATATACAGGTATGGACTAAATTTTTTATTATTTTTACTGCTTACTTAAAATTATATACTTTATAGAAACAAGGATGGGTTTTGCAAAATACTGAAAGGAAAAATTATTTGAAATGAAAATGTGACTGAGATCATATTTGTTTTAAAGATTTTAGATAAAAGTGTATTTTTTTTCCATCAGAAACTAATTCATTAACTGCAAAATCATTGCTTGAAGTTATTAAGAACACTCTAATAACTACAATAAAAAACTGGGGGGAGACATTGAAAACTGTAGGAGAAGAAAGACATTTTAATTGTAAAAGTTTTCTTCAAAAATTTAAATTAAAAAAAATACTAGCAAAAACTTTTTTTCAGCTTAAAATTATTTTGTCTCACAAAACCATTTAATAATATTCATAAAAAGTAGATGAAAATGCTTAAATTAAAAAAAAAAAAATCATTCAAAAGGTACCGAGTCCCTTGTCTTAACTTTAGTTTTAATTTGAACGATATTTCTGGAATACCTAGCATCAGATAACCTTGTCTGTATTTGTCTATAATTTCCGTATCTTGTACAGTTCTATCTAATTTTGGGGGGCATGCTATCACATCCCCAGACATCTATCAGCGTGATTGTTTCACTGACAGTCCAGCGAGCAGTATCTAAAATTAAGTGAACCGTGCAGTATAGTACGGAAAATCTCCACATTTGCCCTGCTCCCGAGAGGTAAGGAACATTCAACCAAGTTCCAACTCCAATTCGGCGAGGCAGTTAATGCTTGTCCCATGTGAACGGAACACGTTGGAAGAACCGGTTCGCTACCGGTCGAATCTGCTCTTGTGAATGGGGCTTATATAATTCCTCCTTACATTTATTATCATAATTCCTTAAATCAATATTAATTTGATTATTAGCATACTTATTAATAAAATGAACAGACTTAAATACATGAATACTTACTTCGGCCTTCAAATCCATCGTTCTCATTTATGCAAACTAAAAAATAATAATAACAATTATAAGTATTATAAATTCAGAAATAAACATTACCATTCATATATATCAAATTACTCTACTTGTACACTACTTAAGCATACATAAATAAAATTTCTGTTATATATAACACTCAGATTTCTTCAATGGATTGAAAAAATAAGTTAAAAATAATTAAATTAGGAAACAAACATTTCAAAGGTCACTGTAATTTGATAACATATGATTGACAACTTATAATTTTGAATTAGCACATGCACAGTCGTATCTTTTTAGAAGATATGGTTCACATATACAAGTTCTGAATCCCAAGGCCAGGCATGGACTAACCATAAAGCAAAATAAGCATCAGCTCAAGACATCTAAAAAAGAGGAGAAATACAGAAATTTCCCTCTGTCGATTATACCATGGAGCATATGCAGCACAGCAATAATGCAGCTGAAGCAAGAGCAATAGAACGAAGCCTAATTATTTATACATCATACATTTGTTCTTCCCACTTTCTCACAATTTTTTCTGTTTAACAATGATTGGCCAGAAAGCTTATACAGTAGACGCTCGTTTTTACGAAACTCGTAGGGACTACGAAAACAGTTCGTTAAATCGAGAGTTCGTAATTTAGAAAGGCATCGGAAATTGTTAGTATTTCACATTTTAATGCTTTCGAGACAGGTTAGTGATACTATTCCATGCTTTTATTTATGTATTAGGAATTATTTTAATAGTATTACTACTTAATAAATGATATCCATTCTATTAAACAAGAAATATAAAATATTTGTAAAACGTACCTTTATTAAGTCATTGAGCAACAAAATAATCACTTATCTTTGTCTGTTTTAAAACAACAGATTGTACAATGCAAGACTCCCTCTTCTCTATATTTGTTAGCATTTCACAATTATCACTGGCCTCAAAAATTCGTCTAAGTTCTGACAAGTATTCAGCAGCTTGTTTTAAAGTCGGTCTTGGTGTTACTTCTTCTTCTTCTGGATCTGAAAGTCTCTCATCCTCGTTGATTATGCTGCTAATAATATCGTGATTCGATATTTCCTCCGTGCAGATGACATTACAATCCACATTTAAAAAATCCTCGAATGAAAGTTCTGGCAACTGTGGATTTCTACGGCGAAGTTCATGCATGAGAACCTCATCTTCGTCGTGAGATCTATTGGCATGGATTTCTTCAGTTACGTCTGTTTCTTTAATAAAACCTGCATGTCGAAAGGTTTTAGAAATTGTTTCATCTAAAACATCATTCCATGCACTGATTGATAAATGCATTGCACCAAGAATATCAATCTGATAAGGTTGTTCCCTTTCCAAGCCAAGGATTACTCTTTGCAAAAGCACTGTCTTATATTTTCGCTTGAAACTTTTGATTATCCCCTGATCCACTGGCTGTAAAACTGCAGTTGCATTTGGTAGGAGATATTCCACACGGATTGCCTGAAGCCCAGTGACTTCCATGTGTGCAGTACAATTGTCCATGATTAGGAGAACTTTGCGCTTCTCTGCTGAAAAACAGTTATCTAAATCTCTCAACCATTTTTCGTAGATATTGCCAGTCATCCAGGCCTTATTATTAGCATAATATGCAGCAGGAATCTTCTGAACATTTTTGAAACACCTTGGTTTCAGATATTTTCCAATAAAGAGCAGAGGCAATTTTTGTGACCCAGTCATGTTGGCTGCAATCAAAACTGTAAGTCTCTCTTTAGCTTTATTACCTCCAACACATTTATCTCCTTTGTAAGCTAATGTTCTTTCTGGCAAAATCTTAAAAAACAAAGCCGTTTTGTCCGCATTAAAAACGTCATCTGCAGCGTATTCAGAAAGAAGCAATTTTCAACTTTTCTTCTTTCCATTCATTTGCTGATGACGTGTCCACTGCTGCACTTTCACCACCACTTTCCGGAAACTCAAACCATTCCGAAATTTAAATTTCTGTAACCAACCATCCGATGCTTTAAAATCTTTGATGTTTAATTTGGAAGTAAAAAAGTGTGCTTGTTCTTTAAGTACATTTCCATCAACTGGAATGTTTAAGCTTCTCATCTTTCGAAACCAAACAAGCAAAGCCCTTTCCAAATTTGGGTGTTTTGATTCTCGAAAATATTTTCGAGAGGAGGGTCCACATTCATCGTTTCCGTTTTTAGCTCCAAAGATCTTCTATCTTGCCTTTAAAATCGTCGATAAACTATTTTTAGGAATTCCATATTTCTGAGCAATTTGTGTCTTCCTTAATATTTTTTCGTCAACTTCTTTTAAAATCTTCTTCTTTATTTCAACCGCTAAACAAATTCGTTTCTTCATTTGCGACATAGCTCTAAGAATCTTACTTAACAAAAACTGGCCCAGTCTCCGTCTCGACTAACGAGACTTCACTGATTGAGTTGTCCAGATCAAATGACTATGACATTACAAAAAGCAACAACTCCCTTTTAGAAGCAACCCAAACCCCTTTAACACGAATGGTCTCACCCCCCACCCAACAACATCAGGCCGATGCTCTTCTGAGAGCCTCCCACAACAAAGAACACCATAAATTTGTCCTAATTCCCCCTCTTCTCCGCCCCCTCCTTCCTTACTGTACTTCTTCGAATGTTTCGCACTTGCTGCCTCAAAATAGTTGGAGATTTTATTTGACCTTCACACTTCGTCCCAATGAAACACGCAGAAGTATGAAAACTGAGTTCGCAAAAAGAGATTTTCTTGATTTGTAGTTTCGTAAATAAGAGCGCAAAATTACATTACATCTATGGGAGTGTATTCGGGACCATTCGCTAGTTCGTCAAATCGAGAGTGTTCGTAAAAAAGAGGTTCGTAAAAACAAACTTCTACTGTAGTAGTATAAACAGACGCATATAAGACCATTCCCATTAAAAAAAAAAAATAGTGTAAGCTGTGCAGAGAGGAAGACAGCCCCCTATCCTGACATTCAAAAGATTTTTAAGTTGTAAAAACTTGGCCATTTTGATCAATACCAGATGCTTAATAACACTACAGTAATTCTTTTACCATTTGGTAAATCATCAAACACAGTTATCAGGACTTGAAAGAAGAATTACATTGTAAATTTAAATCAAGAGTGGGGGGAGAGAGAAGTATGAATATATAATTCCTCCTTACGTTTATTTATTCCTTATTTAACTTAAAACATTGTTGAACAAATATTTCATGTTATCTTTAAACAAATGTTTTTTATGTTCAATAATTTCATGCTTTAAACAAATAAACATAGTTGACTTTAGGTTACCCCTTGTATTATTGTGAAGCTGTTGTTTCATTTATCACCAAGTTGTTATTTCATTTATCACCAAGTTGTTATTTCATTTATCACCAAGTTGTTGTTTCGTTTATCGCCAAATTGCTGTTTCATTTATGCTAACCTGAGTAGTTGAATGTTATGGAAACCCTATTATGGCATAATCATTTGCATTATTCTGGGAAATGGAAGCACTTCCACAAAGGTTAGGTTAGGTTATTTAATTACGGCAAAGCCTCGAAGGCTATCTGCCTAAGGGGAGGGATGCCTTCGTGGAGGACTTTCTATGGGAAACTGGCTCGTATACACGTTACACATTAGGGAAACCACGAAAACGCCCATGCAGCCAGCCCGTTCGCGGTATTCGAACCTCGGACCAAACTACCAGTGTTCAGGGACTTTACCGGACTTTACCAGTGTTCAGGGCTGCTGATGGGCGCACTTTCCGCAATGATTCCGCAAAGAACCCGTTAAATGTAAACATTGCCAACTTTGGCAATAATAGTTCAAACCTGGTAACCCAGCGGATTCAATCTATTTGCTTGTTCAAAGGTTGCAACCATTCCTCTAACATTCATTTTGTTGAATTATCACCGGCTTTGTTCGCATTTGCTGATTTAAATTATTCTTCACTTATTTATTATTTTTTGGGGTACTTTTCCGTTTTGCCGGCGCAAGCGATAAAGTCGCCAATAATGGTACAACTGATGCCAAACAGAATATTCTCGCTGGTAACCTTTTAAGCCTCATTTTCAAAACAAGTCGCAGCTTTTTCTTATCAGATTGATTAATTCTTTCAATACTGGCATATAATTACATAGAATTTTTATCAGATAGTTCAGCAGTTTATGTCTAAGGCCATTTCGGTAATTAAGTCAATTAGGATGCAATCACAGCGCTTACCCGAAGCCGAAAATATGAAAAGGTAAAGTCAAGTGTTAAATTCATCAATTCTAACGAGAATGCATTAGCGAAGTAAGCACTGCAGTTTTACATAATTTCTGAGTAAGCTATTCGTACAAATTGAAATATTTCTTGCATTTAAACTTGTGTTCCAAGTTAAGATTTAACTTGAAATTAATGTAGATAATTACTGAGAGCATTAGATTTTTGTAGAGTAGTTTACGTGAGATGAGATCGCTTGGGGTCACGTGATACGAACCGGCGAATCAGGATGTTGAACCATGAAAGCATAGTAAATTCTTAAATTAATGTCTTTTTTACAAATTTATTGTCTTTATTTATTGACTTTTTATAAAATTTTAAGCGATATTAAAATGTTATGCCTTCAAAAAAAGATTCTTAGAACTAACATTTTTTAATATTTTTTATGTGTATACTGTATGTTGTCGCCAATAAAATCTGCTTGGCGAGATTTGCGCCGGCGAAACGGAAAAGTACCTTTTTTTGTATTTTCATGTTATTTTTTATGGACTTTTCACAATAAATAAACAGAAATATTTTTATATAATAAAGGAAGTTTTTGGTGGCACAGAACCATGAGGTTTCCAACCCCTAAAATATTTTGACTTCATGGGCCGCCAAAATATGAATTTTAAATAATTAAGTAAGTAATGTTTTTATTTTTATTGTTAGTTATTGTCATCTAAAATAATGAGAAAAACAATATTTATGGCTCAAAACTTTAACCAGATAATATATTCTTAATTCTTCTCCAACAATAACCTTTGAGAAGATTTCAGGTGTGACACATAATTAGATGATTAAATTGAAATAAAAAATATTATCAATTCCTACAATGACTCTCTAAAAAATAAAATCTAGTTTTATGGATCCCCAAAGTCTAGCAAACCACTACTTGTGTAATGAATCCAAGTGCAAATGACTCTTCAAAAATAATAAAATGCACAATTTTCTAGTTTTATTAACAATCCTATTGAAGAGAATTTCGGTACTCTTGAAGATTACTGGTATTGTCAAATACATTATGAAAAAGACAGGCTGTTGTTTCAACATAAAATGCTTTCAGCTGCCTGTAAGTAAATTGAAAAAAAAAAAAAAAAAAAAGAACAATCAAAAACTGTTTATATAAGATAGATGTATTAAAAGTCATGCATTCATTAATTTATTACAGGGGCATGACTCTTACTAAACTAAGACTGTCAATGAATTATTGTTTGGAATCGGAATTTTCTTGGGCTAATTTTTAGAATACGGTAACAGGTAGTTTGGTGACATTTTGGTAACGCGATAAAGGTTACTAGCTAGGATTTTAGCAATAATCTGAGAAGTACGCAGTTCGAATCACAGATTATTTTGTCTCAGAGAAATGAGAGATCATGAGACATGTAATGTAACATTTTCCAAAAAATTCCAATGGGGATTTTAGCTAATAAGCACTTAGAAACAATTTCGCTGCTAAAGTGCAGGATCGCCCACTTATTTGTTTGGCGCTTTTTACAAGAGTAAGAAGAATTGGATTTTTGTCAATTTTCTTAGACTTTTTAAGTGAAAATAGGTCGATGTGTACATGGATAAAGTCAAGAGTGTACACAATGCCATTTTTTTGCAATTCTGGGATTTTTTTTTAAGTGAAAATAGGTCGATGTGTACATGGGCACCGTGTACAGTCAAAAGTCTTAAATCCGGACTCGTCGGGACTTCGGCGATTCGGGATTATCGGTTTTTCCGGATTATAGTCATCAGTTTAAATCTGGTAAGATGGCATGCAGAAATTATAAAATTAAAAATATGAAACCGTAATTTATGAAATAAAGAGCAATTATGATCTAAAGGGTATCAAAATTTAAAAATATAGCTTAATATTTATTTGTTTACTTATTAAACATTTCTTTCAACGTGCGCATGCCTAAAGCATACATTACGCATAGTCAAAATTTGAAAATTGCAATTAGAAAACTATCTGATGTGTATTCTTGATATTTATAATGACGAGGAATTTGATTTAAATCAGATTAAAGACGGAGTACATTGAGATGAAATACTACATTTAGTAAGGAATTATAAACCGAATAAAATAAAAACATCTGCTCTGAAGATAAGGATAGTGCTGACAGAACAACTATAGTTCAATTAACAACCAGTTCACTGTGCGCCAAGTCCCCCCCCCTCGGTCGCAGAGCAGTGTGAAATTGATAAACATATTTCGGAGTGGTTAGAGAATCAAAGGATATGCCTTTATCCATTTTTTGCAGCAATTCCACTTTTTGTTTGATGGCCATCGAAACATGCTTTCGCTTTGTAGATCCTTTGGCAGCTCCAGAATCGGAAATTCTTTTTGACATAATGGAAAGTTCAAGCTTACTTTTATAAAATTGCTCTAACAGTCTGCAAAAAATAATAAGCCAGATCCAATTAGAAGATTAAGGAACAACACAATCTGCAACATCAACTGAAATAGATAATTAGATAATTTTAGCTTAGCTTATACCGTCCG